TCATATTAAAATATGTACATCTACATCCGCAGTGTAAATAAACAAATTGAATGTAAATATTCGTAAATTTAGCATAAATTAGTTAATTTTCTACTATCGTAAAATAATTTTAATAACTGTATTTGTTATTAACCTTACAAAATTATTTTATTTTATAATGTCTTACAGCAAACCACATACACAAATAAAGAGTCCGCGATATGCTGTAAAGATCACCAAATTGTATACATCTACATTTACAAGTATGTATATACATGTATTCGTAAATTTAGATTACTTTTTTCTGTACTATATTAAAAGCTAAAATTTATTTGTTTTGTAAGCTTAAAATAGATTCTTATTCACTAAATATTATTAAAAATGCATTTATGTATAAAATACAGAACTGGAAATGGTTATTTGTGGTTTAGCCTAGTGACAAGTAAATTTGGAAATGAGTAAATTCAACTTAAGTCATTTTTCAACTTAAGTAGCCTCTCCTGGAACAAATTACCAATGTAAGGTGAGGTATACCTGTATTTAGGATTAAGGAAAGTATAAAATTTAATTAAAATTAAGATATTTAACCAGTATCAATATATATTGGTCTATTTCTTAAGCTTGTCAGTTTCTTTAGATGTGTGTGTGTGTGTGTATATATATATGCACACACGTACATAGATTCTCTCTCTCTCCCTCAAGATGTGTATAAAATCAAGCTAATTTCTCAGGATAGGAAACTTTAAGTTGCAAAGATAGCTGAAAGCAAGTAGGTTTTATCATCATAAAAGGAAAACCAAAACTTTTGGTGGAACCAATGAACAACTTGTCAAAAGTTTGAGTTTCATGCTCATGCAATCTTCACATGACTTAAAGGCCTTCAAGTTGTCTGAACATCGTTTGAGTATGAAACTCTGGTTACATCTGCACACACATACATACACACACACACACATAAAAAAATCATGTTCCTGTACACTAAATAAGAATAAAAGTATATAAAATCATATTAAAAGATGTACATTTAGGGTAAATGTTAATATAATCATCATAAATCCTAGAGAAGGAAACATCTGAGATTACTTTTTTTTTCTGTACTATATTAAAAACTAAAATTTATTTGTTTTGAAAGCTTAAAATAGATTCTTATTGACCAAATATTATTAAAAATACATTTATGGATAAAATACAGAACTGGAAATGGTTATTTGTGGTTTAGCCTAGTGACAAGTAAATTTGGAAACAAGTAAATTCAACCTAAGTCGTTTTTCAACTTAAGTCATCTCTCCTGGAACAAATTACTGATATAAGGTGAGGTATACCTATAATAACAAAGACGATGACATTAGTCTGAATGTGAATGAAGCAAATATTGAAAACTCCACCTTCCAGAAAATTCAGACAGAAAAAATGTATTGAATTAGAAAAAGTCTAGAAGAATAAATGATTTACACTATTTACATGTGAACTGTTGTCTTCATCTTTCTTTTTGTTATCACAATGTTTCAGCTGTTGTGACCCCCTGGCTCTGAGGCCTTCATCAGGTGTATCTTGATCTGAGTAACCTACAGCGAATTCTGAACTGAACCCTTTATTTAATCTATTATGGTAGACTGTTGTCTTCTAGCTTTTTTTTTTTATTATTTATTCTTTTACTAATGTTCACTCAATACAAGGCCCAAGAGCCACTCAAGGTAGAGCGTTACTGTTATATTAGTATAGGAAAGGACAAGCATTTGGAGTTTTTATTTTTTAGTACTGCTCAGTTATTGCTCGTCCTGTTTCTATTTGAGTCCAAGTACACACTGCCCGGCCCAGGGACTGAACTCTCAATGACTATGTCACCAAACTCACAAACTAAGTTTATTGTGTCTATATTTTTGAGATGAGGCACCATGTACATTATCTACATTATTTGGACTATTGTCCTCATCTTTGTCACCATATTTATCACAACGTTTCGGCCGTTGTACGCTCCAGCCTTCTTCAGGTGGTTGGAATGTCGAACTGAACCCTTTATTCACTGGGGTAGACTGTTCTAGTTCCACGTACCATGTTTGATGGATGTCAGTTATCAGTTATCTCCTGTTAATTTGCCTCTGAAAGTTCTCCATTGCCTTAACTGGGTATTGAACTCACACTCTTTGGGTCCTGTCACTGGATCTAACCAACGCCTTTATCCACTGTGCCATGTGTCCTTGAAATAAAGGGTTCAGTTTGACATTCCAACCACCTGAAGAAGGCCGGAGCGTACAACGGCCGAAACATTGTGATAAATATGGTGACAAAGATGAGGATAATAGTCCGAATAATGTAGATAATGTAAGTTTATTGTTTCATAGGACAATTCTCTGTGAAGAACTTGGAGCTTTAAAACTAACCTGCCTGCTGATGGGTGCTGCTGCTTCTCTTTGTCATTTTTAGGAGATTGAAAGAAAGTGTGAAACATAGGATTAATAACTGAAGAAGTTGGAAAGATTAGAAAAATAAAGGAGTTCATTATCCAATGAATAACAGGGAAAATAAAAATTCCATATATATTTGCATATCATGTGACTTTTGAAGACCTAATTTTGAAGCTAAGCAGTACATATGCTAATTTTATGCTGACCCCCTTAAGGTCAGCATAAAATTAGCATATGTACTGCTGGCCCAGGTTATGACATTGACCAAACTATATATCTATTTACTGTAGTCAAATTAGCTTCAAAATTAGATCTTCAAAGGTTGCATGATACGCGAGTATATACAGTATATGAAAACTTGAAGATCTTGATTTATCAACACTTATCGTTTTTTTTTCTTTCATTTAAAAATGGTTTTTAAAATATTGATATAATTTCTTTTATTTCAGCCTTCTTTGAATCTATAATTTCAGAGAAGTTTCAATTTTCATTTGCAGTTTCTTTGACTTCATCAAGAAAATCTTTGTTCATTATTATCATGTTGATAAGTTTAACTCGACAAGTTTTTGCAATAAACAATTCTTATTACCAAATATTATTTTCTCATGACGCATTATTAATTTTTGTATGAAATATTTTTAGTAATATTAATTTAAAACTAGTTTTACTCCATTTTATTGTTTTGTTATCACAAACATCTGGGTTGACCGACTCGTTGATCACAGGAACAAACATTGTGAAACGAGAAAATCGATCAGTAATCTCTGATGATACTTGAATTTGCACCTCACATGTTGAGGGCCTGTCTTCCATGGATATCACCATAATCATTTTCAACCATGTCTTTTTTTTTTTTTTTTTTTTATCATTTCACCCCAGGCAAGGTGATAATGCCACAAGGGCAGAAGAGGTTACTGGGAGTGAAAGAGAATGAGAAGGCTAGTGAGGAGAGATGACAATAAACAAACAGGATTCAAGAACATGGAAGATAGCAATTGATATTGCATTTAAATTTTTGGGGATCGTTTTCCCACATCTAGGAATTGTTCTAATGAGCTTTCCACCTTGGTACCTGCACTGCAAGTGTTTAAATGTACTACTAGATTAAGCAAGTAGGTCTCATCATTTTACTTTTGTATTAGATAAATGTAACCGTAAATTCTAAACCGAAAAGATTCTTTTTTTTCTCCTCACTCTCTTTTTCACTCCCAGTCACCCTTTGCATTCTAGTGGTATTATTATCTTGCTTGGGGGTGAAATGATTTAAAAAACTTTGCCAAAAGCACTTGGGACAATAATCCCTACTGACAATTTCTGCAACACTTTTAGTCCTTGTAAAGAAAAGCTGTAAGGGTGCTAGAAAAACTGAATAAAAAGCTTACAAAATTTTACATTTTTGATATATCCAATGAAACCTGTATAAAAGGATTGCTGCTGAAATATACAATATATGACTAGATTTTACCTAGAAACAGCAGAGAAAATTGGAGAGGACCATATTCCTTGTGTCAACAGTGATACTTCCATGGTCAAGATACCTTGCAGTGTGTGGATACAAAGACAACTTCATTATTTTTAATTTTGCACCTATTACTCTTATGGTTGATAAGTATATTGACCTTAAATACGGTGATAAAAGCAACAATATTAAAATGGTGAAAAACTAGTAATAATAGTGATTTTTTTTTATTCACTTGGACTTGTTTTAATTTTACTTTTGTGGTTTAGTGTCAGATACATCCAAAGACATATTTCAAAGAAAATAAAAATATGGCAAACTTTGACTGTTGTGCCTGCAAAAAAAAAAAAAAAATAACATAGCAAAAAAAATGGAGCATTAAAAGAACTTTTTTTCTACTGACACTGCTATTATTAACTACCTTCCATCCTCAGTAATGTTTGTTATTTTAAAAAGCAATGATTAGAATTGTAATAAAACCTAAACATATGACAAAAGTGAATTTATACATTTTCTTTGTTCTTGAGAATTGACAACAAACATAATAAACAATATTTATTATATCATTTATTGGAATGGTTGGCAAAATATTGGCTAATTGCCAATCAATTTGAATTTTATAAAATGCTAAATAATAAAGATATTTTTATAGTTGGTGTGCATATTTTAATAATTATTAAATGTTTATAAATAAATTTTTTACATATTTATTTCTTTATAAATTGATATATGATAAATATTGCATTTGTTTTAATTGTATTAGTTTTTATAATGTTGTAAATGTAAAATTATTCTTGTAAATAAACAATCTAATAAAAAATGTTTAATATTTAATATTTTTGTTGTCTATTCTCAATACAAAAAATATATATAATTCACTTTCATCATATGTTTAAGTTTTATTACAATTATTATAATCGCTTTTTAAAACAATAAACATTGCTGAGGAGTGAAGGTAGTTAAAATAATAGCAGTGTCAAGGGAAAAACCGTCCTTTTGACACTCCATGTTTTTGTGTGGATGAAGGTCCAAGTTTGCCAAAAATATGTGACTGATTTTGGAATAATTGTTTCTTGAATTGTTTTTTTTACAATAAATTTCTCTTCATCTGTATAACAACTTTTTAACTCCTAAATTTTTTTCTTTTCTCTCCACAGAACTCATTTAAGGATACCATGCTGGCTGGAAATAGTAGCAAACTCAGCAGTAGCAGCAGCAGCAGCAGTGACCCCCTGAGGACTCTTTCTACATCCTGTCCTCAGATGGGGTCAGCAGCCGCAGTCGCCACTGACCACAGCATCCGTGGGACAGACCTTCATCCTGATGGTGGGATCCCAGACCCTCAGATTGATGCGTCATTGCTGTTATCTTTGCCTCCATTTACGTCTTCAGATTTTTTGTCAACCACACTCCATTCAAAGCCTGTTACTTCTACTTCTTCTTCTACAAGCCAGCCCACGACGTTAATGTCGATAAATGGAGCCCCCCAAAATGGCCTGTGTGGTGAAGATTCCAATGATTGCTATCCCAGCCCTCGTCATTGTCATGGTAGCAACAGTAGTAGTGACAATGGTGTTATTTCCCCTGTTGGGAGCCAGGAGGACACGCCCTCGGAAACCTCCTCCGAGCAGCCAGGCACCTGTGGTTCCGCTTTATCAATGGGAGACGTCGGCGGTGGCAAAGACCTAACCAGTCTTGCAGACGATGCTGATAATGGTAACGGTGATGATGGCATCAAAACCAAACAAAGTGTTTATCTTAAGAATACTATCACTTCTCTAAGTAATGAGATGAACTTTTCCTCATCGGAGACAAGCCCCATGTCATGTGTACAGTCCACTACCCTTGCCAACAGTGATGTTAATCTAGTTCCTGGCCAACTGTCTCCATTCATTAGCAGTTCTGCCAGAAATCCTGATTCTTTGTTGAAGGCAACACCAGGAAATTATCCTTGTTCTGTGGATTATCTTTGGCAGCAATTGGAAAAACTGATGCCTCACAAGCATGAAAGTGTGAACAAAATGTTGCATCAGTATGGAATTGGTAAAGGTGTGGGATCACTCCATGGCAGGGAGAATTCCGAAGAGGATCAGTTCTGGGACATTGTTCAAAGCAAATCTCTTTGTACTCTGAATATAGCTTAAAAGGAAGTTACTTGTAAATGGCCAATATTTTAAAAAGAAATTACAATTTTACTATCTTAGTTAAGCCAGATGTTTTAGAAGGAAAAACAAATTTTTAAAAGAGGAAAGACAAAAATCTCTCAATCAAAGTTGTATTAGTTATTAGTATTTTAAGATAAAAGCTATCCTTAAATAATTAATTGCCTTCTCTTTCCCACTTTATAAGCTTTAATTATTTTTTTTAAGTATATAGATGGCTATATATCTGGATTTGTTATCCTCACTGATACAAAATTGACCATTTCTGTTTTCTTTTTTTGTTTAACTCTAAATTAGAAGATCTTTTTTCTGATTGTTGAAAAATTAGTCGACTTTATCACTGATAGTCTTTTTGATGATTCTGTTAGGTCTTATAATTCTGTTGTCCCTACAAATAAAAAATTTAGGCCATGTTTTCTATAAATAGACTGTAAACAAAAAAAAAAAAGTAATCCTTGACTTTGTCAAACCCCAAACAACTCTTGAAATTTTATTTTATTTTTTTTTTTTGACTAGTTTTTATTTTTGTTATTTTTGTTGCTTTTTATCCTGACTAAAACTGTTACGTTATATAACGTGACTATCAATTAAGCGGCAAAGATGAGAAATCTATGATGTTTACTTAGAGAATGTTGCGATAAAAAGCAAACAAAAATTCTAGTCAGAAATTAATAAAAAATCTTAATTTAATAAATAAATAGATTTTGGGCTTCTATAAGCAAGAAGGTAACAGGAAGTTTGTGTATATGTATGTATATTTTTTGGTTGTGGGGATGTAAGAGTGTATGTGTATAGGTTCCCCTTCCCCCATGTATATAAAAGTGTCTATACAAGCAGGAATGTATGTAGGAATAAAATTTACACATGTTTACTAAGATTATCAGCCCAAGAATATGATAAATAAAATCTGTAGATATTCAATGGTTTGCCTAAAACTGTTTTATGATGTCATCTGATGAAAATGAAATACTTGTCTCTCTCTATGCCCAATGTTGTCTATAAGACAACAAAATAGTTCAAGCAAACCAGTTTGTGCATATTTTTGTATGGGAATATGATTTCCAAGGGTTGGGATAAAATTTGTAATATTTGGCATTTTTTACTAAGTATTACTAAAAATCCCAGCTGCAACTATTTGAAACCATATTTTTGGAAAAGCTTAATGCTTGCATATGCTGTGTAATGTCTGTTTCTGTGAATTGCAACTTATTGCGTTAGTATCTTTTGGCTTTTGAAAAATACAATTTTGATTTTGTTATTTTCATTTGACAAATCCATAAAACAATTCTTGGCATCTTTTTTTTTTCCAATCATCACAGTATTTTAGACAAATCTTAAATATAAATAGTAAATGGATTTGTATGTGTATGGGTGTGTTAGTTCATCTTTGTATGCATCTATAATGTTTGAAGTTGATGGATTGTATGCGTGTTAGTAGGATGGAGAATAATATCTGAACAAAAGTATAGATTATGAGACTAAGAGGAAAACCTATTAGACTACGTGTTATTGCCTCTTTATAGTAGGCGTCTTAAGGCTGAAATGAGTGGCTAATCTATACATAAGGAAAGGGTGTTAGAATATGGGGAGGAGGTAACAAAATATCATAAACTGATTTTTAGCTAAAGTGTTGATGTTTTATCTATGGAAGCAACATCTGAGGGATTTGCAACTTAGCCCACTCCAAGTAGATATCTTTCTTTTTTGTTCTCTCTCTATTAGTTCACATGTTGTATTATGCTACCAATATTTTTGCGATAATTGAAGATATTGTATATGAACCTAGTCTGAGGTTGACTGTAGACGTTTGACCAGGCTCGTACAATATCACTCATCATTACAAAAAATATTAGCACTCAGAGTGGGTTAAATTTAAAATCCAGCATATATTAACAACTTCAGTCAATAAAACATGAACACTCTAGACACAACAACAGCTAATGATAATTATTACCTCTTCTACATCTTCCAAAACACTTTCCTCACATGGATTTGTCACTCATTCCACCTGAAGATGCCTATTATAAGGTGTGTGAAATGAGTGGCTGAAATGGATTGTGTGTGTATTATGTATGTATATATGTATATATATATATATATATATATATATATATATATATATATATATATGTGTGTGTGTATATATATATATATATATATATATATATATTATGAATAAAAATGACAATAGGAAAACTGGTAATTGCTGGCGTTTTCGTCCAATGTGGACTTTATCAAAGCAAAATACGAAAAATTGAACTAAAGCGTCAGCAATTACCAGTTTTCCTATTGTCATTTTTATTCATAATATTGTCTTCTCTACCGATTAAATCGGAGAAATTTTTTATATATATATATATATATATATAAAAGATTAGTCTATTTATTATAAGTTTATCTCCTTTAATTTATCTACCTTAAAATAATCATCACTCTTGATAAGCCAGCATTTAAGGTACTGATAAAGTTGACTCTTTCCTCAACTCTTGTTGAAACTAAAAAAGAAAAGAAAAAAAAAACAAAAAACGCTACTGCAGACCAGTCCTGTGGTATTCCAGATCTAATTCAGACTGGGTTTCTCTGGCAAGAACAAAACATTTTTTGAAATCTTTGCTTACCCCATCCTTCTCTCTCTACTTGTTACATTGATGCAATAATATTCCTTTCGATGTTGGTTTTCATCTGCAATAGTTCATTTTTCGGTATCAATTATTGGGGGTTATAGGTTGTGGGTGGTGAGCAAAATATATTGTAATGGATTCAAAAGAAGAACAAAAAAAAGTGAAAAAAAAAAAAAAACCCCAAAAGACAGAGTTATTTTGAGGCAGGTAACCTTTTTTTAAGAAAAAGTTTACCTGTCTCATTGCTCAATAGTCTCTTCAAAGTCCCCAAAGAGTATAACATGAAAAATTTTATAGTCTTGGCGCTTTGTATATCGAGGGTTTTACTAGATTTGAATTTTTAATAAAAAGAAGAAAAAAAATTCAAATTTTGTCATGTTCCTTTTCTTTTTATTTATAATAGGGACCTTAAAAAAATGAAAAAAAAATGTACCTTTAGCTCTGAAATATAGACTGGTCTTACTTCAGGAAACAGGCTGCATATTGTATGTTATTAATCAATAACACTGATTTTGTTTTCCTTATACTTTTTATTTTATTTTTAATGAAGTGACATAAATACATAATAATTATCCCTTGACAATTCAATATTTTTTTCTTTGAGGAACAGAAAATGTTGCTAAGACATATTTGTCCACCTAAAGAAGAAAAAAATGTATAAGTAAGATTAAATTTATAAAATTTACCCTAAAGTAATATTTACCAGTCCTGTCATTTGGATTTCTCTTATTAATATAGACAATTACACTTCTTTGAGTAACAATATATGGTCACTTATATTTTGTACATGGGCTTCACATCTACATTCTGTGCACACAATTTTAATTATTTATTAAATCTATATTGATTAAATCTATATTGATTATGTCAGATACAGTTATGACTGACTGACTTTTAAAAAGGAGTTAATTTCCAAAAAATGCATTGTATTCAAATTGTCATTTTCTTTTTCTAAAAAGAAGAATTCTTGGAAAAGAAAGAGAGTGGGGAAATTTAGTTCTTTCGGTTGTTTCATTTTAAAACCAGTTTTTCTTCTTTTTGGAAAGAGAAGCTGAACTACAAGCAGGTTAACATGACTATAAAAATGTCACCTTATAATAAGACCCATTTTGAGAGAGAGAGAGAGACTCACATGGAGAGAGACTTGAATGTCTTTCTTGTTAATCTAGACCTAATCACCAAAAAGAGCCTCCGAGATACACATCATATCAATGTTTGCTTTGCTCTACCTACCTGCTTGTATATACATATACATTTATATATATATATATATATATATATATTGTATTTCTTTTTCTCCTGCCCAGTGTTTCTCTCTTTACATTTAACAAAGAAAGAACTCTTGTTAGATGTTTTAGAACCTAGTCCATTATGGATGCTCTTTGTTACTATTCAAATAAGCAATTTTTAAACCCTGACTTACCAGACCATACGTAGTATGTTGCTATATTGTAGTTCTGTTGCTGCTGTCAGCTAACAATTAAGGGCAAAAGTAATCACACTATTTCACATGCTTTGTCACATTAGTGAATTTTATACAAAAAAAAAAAATATATAGGGGGGAGGGGTTGAGAGGAATTTTCAAATCTGATTTGTTTTTATGCTATTCTAAAACCACCTACCCATGTGCTGATATCTATAAATAAAAAAATTAAAAAAAAAAAAAACATTGCTTAAAAATGATTTTTCTTCAACCTTTTAGCTTTAGTTTATAAAGCCTTCTTTTTTTTTTAAAAAAAAAATGTTGTTTTAATTAATTAAAACTGCTTTTTCTCTTTCACTGATTAAAAAATACTGACAAAAAAAAAACAGATTTAAGAAAAAAATATTTAAAAAAATTAATGCAAATTTAAATTTTTTTTTTTTTAAATTTAATATTAAAATAAAAATTTAATTTTTCTTGTAGCTCCTTTTGCAGTTTAAAAGAAATATTTACCTGTTTAATTTTAGAACAGGTCATTACAAAATTTCATAAAAAAAAATCTCAATTCTGGAACTTGTTGACATTAATCAAGCCAGAGTTCAATGAATGATAATACTTTAATCCAGGGTTAGATAACTCTTCCATCTTTGCTTGAACCATTTATTTATATATATATATATATATATATATATATATATATATATATATATATATAGGAGAAAAATATTTTTAAAAATCGGGGAAATGGAGAGAAAAAATAAAAAGGAAAGAATTAGCTTTTTGTTTGTTAGTAGAAAAAAAAGAACAAACAAAAAAATATGTAAGCTTTAAAAAACATAACTGCATTGTTTTTGAACAAACACCTTTAAAATTTCTGTCTGAATTTCTGAGATGAGGAGTTATCATTATTTACACTATTGTCCTCATCAGACGTGGAC